AACATAACAAGAATTTATCCTACAAAAGGTTCTATCAAAACTCTAGATAACAAATTAGCTATTCATAATAGTATGTAAAACTACAATACTAAAAGTCATAACCAACAATGAAAAATAGGAAGAGGAAGGAAAAACTCGTAGAAGAATTCTCCGCCTTGCTCCCAATGTGTTCTTGCCTCCAAGGGTGTTGTCTAACCCTAAAGTAGTGTCTCTCCGCCTCCTTAGGTCTAATTTGTGTCCAAAATATGTCCCCTCTTGTTCTTGGCCGGCCTCCTTTGTTTAATATAGGGTTTAGGACTTAAAATCCCATGTTTTGCACTTTAGTCCCTGAAATTTTCGCTTCCTGCCGCGGTTTTGCCGCGGTCGCGGTGGAACCGCGGCCAAACATGACCTCTGATTCTTCAGTTGTCCGCGACCATCTTCTACCGCGGTTCTGCCGCGGTTGCGGCAAAACCGCGGTGTTTTACCCTGTTCCGTTTGGAATTTGGAAAAACGTAAAACATGAAAGTTGTAGCCCTTTGAGTTAGCTTTTCAACCATATATTGTAGAGCCCAAATGGAGTTCTGAGCAAAAAGTTATGTCTATTTTACTAGATAGTGCGCAATATGCCTCCTCAAGTCTTCGTTCGTACTTAATTATCAAATTTGACCTCCGAACACGATCCCGGCTTAATTCCTTGAGCTTTTACTCAGACTTCAAAGCTTCAAATCACTTAAATTCATTCCATAACATCTATATAGCTCGGAATCACACCTACAAGGCATAANGCAGCATATTGTTTTGGCAAATGGACCCATTTCCTCATCTACAAAAGTATGCCTACATTTTTAATGTTTATACTTTTGAGTCCCATAATTGCTTCTTACTCAATATTTGCTAGCTTTTGATAATTCATGCTATCTCATTTGTATTGTGGGCGTGATATATACCTTAACCTTGGATGCTTTTCTTCGAGGTAATTAGATTCACTCTCTAAGTTTATATTTTTTCCTCCTCCTATTTGTTTTAATTTTCTTATTCATGCAAAGTTCATTATATCTTTTTGACACGAAATGATAGCATTTGCTATGGAATTGAAAACATACTGCAAAAAGGGATATTTAATTTCTTGTGTTGGTTTGGATGGATTTAATTTTTTATTACAATTACTATTTGCAATTGATAATAGAATTTGAACTTTTGGTGAAAGATAAGTTGATGTATTGATTTTTAAATAGGAGAGTGAGTGATCTTATGGTGTAAAGATAATGATTTAGGGTTGGAGGAAATCTTGAACTGTCTTATATTTCTAAGTTAATTCAACTTGAGAAACCAAAAGAAGTTAAACATGTACATTAGTTTTACCCGGTTGTTTTACTTATTTAGGCTCTCTAATCTTGTAGGAAAGGAAAACAATAAGTAGATATTCCTGTAATTTATATTGGAGGAGGAAGGATAGTCGTTCATATTTCTACGGCAATAAAGAAAATAATTGTATGCAAGGAAAATTTTCTTTTGTTTTATTTCTATCTTTATTTACAAATTAAGATTGGAATCTCACACTAAGTTATGCATCTATTTTAAGCCTTATTCTTATTGTTGTCTGTTGGACTGCTCTACTTGGTAATTACTTCGGCGGCCAATCAAAAAAATATTGCCAGTGATGGAAGGTTATTCATGTTGTCTTTCACCAACCCAAAATTGTATATGAGTGTTCTGTGGAAAAATTCATCTTTATTGTTATCCAATATTCCGATAATCATTAATCAAACATAATTCACTATACGCGTAGCATTAAAAGGACCAAATGGTAAACAAATTTGAATAAGAAGGAAGTGGTACGACCACGAAGAAGACATGCACCAAATTAATATAAGGATTCTATGAAAAATTATGAAGTTCAGTGATCAAAAAAGAAAAACTATTAAATGTTGGTGCACTGTTTGTTCTCTAATTAAACTGATTATTTTCGTATTCTCTAATTAAATTGGATAATTGATGCATAGTATAATCATATCCTATAACAGAGTATATTTTTATGCACTATTTTTAATTTTTTAAAATTATTATCTTTTTGTTAGTTATCGTTATTGTAGACATATAAAATTTATTGATTTCAAATTCAATAAATAATCTGGATTATATTTTAGATATATTAGTCCAAATAAATATTTTGGGCTAATATAATTGGGTTAATTATATAAGACCAATATTATTGAGCTAGCTCATTTAATTAGGCTAAAGTAATGAGCCCACTTCATTAAGCCCAATATGCCATCTTCCTAGAGGCCCAGTTTGGTGCCACGTGTTAAATGACGTGGCACGCCAAGTCAAATGGAAGAACCAATATGTTTAACCAAAAAATAGAATTTCGGTTAAAACTAGAAATTAAGAGGAAAAATCGGGTTACTGATAATCAGGAGACGAAAAGAATAAGAAATTTTTGAGGATAATAAAGCAGTAAATAAGTTTGTATTTCAATGTAATCTCAATGATATTTCGTGTCCTTACAAATGCTGAGACCTCCTCCTTTTATAGTTGATTTTTCTAGGAAAAAGTATAATGCCTTAGCCTTAAAGAGGCAATTATGAGCATTAAATGACATTAAATGAAACGTTACACAATCATTCCTATTCAATACTGATTCGCTAACGTATTTGACATTCAATACTGAATTTAGACTCCTTTATGCCATCAGATTCATATCTTCAATTCCTTCTGACCTCCTGGCTTTAATTAAGTTAAATAGATACGAGACTCGTATCATTTGAATAGCATCTCGTGCCTATTTAACTTTCTTCTCTTCGTATCTGATATTGCCCGTGCCTCTTAACTGATCATCATGTTTTGACCATTTTGACCAGT